CAGAGAGAGACAGAGAGAGAGACAGAGAGAGAGACAGAGAGAGAGACAGAGAGAGAGAGAGAGAGAGAGAGAGAGAGAGAGAGAGAGAGAGAGAGAGAGAGAGAGAGAGAGAGAGAGAGAGAGAGAGAGAGAGAAAGTTACATTTATAAAGACAGGTAAGTCTAACAAATGAGGACTGAGACCTCTACAACAGGGTTTTTACGCCTGAAAGCAGGTGCATGATTTAACAAGCAGGTTGTCAGTCTAGATTTTATGCGCAGATGGAGAAAAAGCGCACAATTTTTGTAATGAGATGAAAAGCAGAAATAATAAGAAATAATAAGAAAAGATGAAATGAAAGCCTGCTCACAACCCCGCCCAGCCTTGCGAACTGGGTATGGTGGATTAAGAACCCGGTTCAACGCTCGAGCAAGCGCTCTCCACTCAAGGTGTTCACAGCAACTGATAGGAACTCATATGGGGAAATTATAGAAAAGAAATAATAAGATAAAGAGAATAAATTTCAACGCACCTCAATAAACGGAGCCCCACATACAGTACCTCAGAAAAGTGGATCTTCCGACCAGTGTTTTTGTTGACGCCGCAACCAGATGATGTAGCTGCTTCGCAGAGACGTCTTACTGCACAAATTACAAATAAATTTTATTCTTCGATTAGAAAATCCAAGCGCTTTCAGAGCCCTCCGAAGAGAGTCCGGGATGAAACCACGCACACCTACCTCAACCGAAAAAGAAACGACCTGCCTCCCGTTTGCTCGGCATTGATCGGCCAGATCCGCATACCGCCTGTCCTTCCGCGAGTTACTGACACTGAATCTGTCCTCAGCACAAACTGTCAACTCCATCCAGAATACAATCCTACGACTCGTAGAGTACAGAACTATATCTGGTCTTAGGGTGGTAAGTGCAACTCAGCTAGGGAAAGAAATCTTTGCACTAACTGAGTCGACAAGAAGTTTCCAGTCTGAGGCCGCTGACAGGAGATCAGTCGTAACCAACTTTCGTCTGGGCTGAACGCGAACTGGCTTCTCTCCCGCCTTGCAAAACGAGATGAAGTCAAGCTCATTTGAATTTTCGGTTTGTACGGTGTTTGCAGCAGTGCGGATTCGAATCTCCTCACGCATGTTCCTGACGATGACCCCGAGTACGTTGTCGTGCCTCCAGGTGTAACGTCCCTGGTCCAGCGCTACGCAACAAGCGCCAAGCACGTGGCGCGTAGTACAGGCCCAGGTACGGCACAAACTACAGTACGGATCCACTACGGTGTTTCCCCAACGGCGTAGGTTCGTCGGAGAAGGTAGCACGTCGAGGGTTGATGCGAGAAGAAATTTCAAATCCTTACCAGTACCACCGTACAAAAGGGATTTCCACGAGAGGTCCTGCCACATCACCGATGTCCACTCCAACCACTTGCCTTGCACCTGAAGAGTCTTCAGCCTCAAAATCTGCTCCTGCGCGTTGATCTCCTCAAATGTTTGAAGGAGATCCTTCCTCGGGGGTTTGGAATGCTGCTTCGGAGCAGGAGCACCCAACCCTGCACGATGACTTGAAGATGACGGTGGACGGAGAGTCCCTGAACCTACTGATGCCTCTGCACACTCCAGCTCTATTGTCGCCGCATATCGCTTTGTCAGCTTCGCATCCTTACTCCGACGCAGAGTGTACAGCGCCCTCATGCGCGCGTCCCCACTCGATCGAAGAATGTGCCATTTGATGGACTGGCACTTTTTCCACACCGTAGGAAGGTAGTGGAGGCGTAAGGCAAAGCGTTTGCGACTGCCAATAAAAAGAATGGCAGAGTTTGCGCATCGAGGTAGGCCTGACCATTTCTTCAGAAATGGTAAACACATAAAGTGCAGTTCACGTACAAAACCTTGTGTGAGTTCAAGAACCTGGAAAGACCAAGAAAGCTTGGGCACTACAAGATGGTGGTAAAGCCATAGCTTGTGGTGGTCTTGAAGCCAAGAGCCATCTACTTTTTGCATGAGAGATACAGTGAGTTGACGGATGTCTTCCCGCTGGGTCTGCTCAGAGCAATCAGCATGCAGCCTTCGCCCCAGGAACTTGAACTCTGCAGTGTCAATGAAAGCGATCTTCCTCCCTGACATTGTCAGGCAGGGATCGTAAGGTTTGTACCGGCCATCTACAAGCTTTGCTGCACTGCTTTTGCATTTGTGCGGCGCCGCCTGCATACATTGGGTCCACGAGAGAAAGTCCTCCGTGACCGCAATGAGTTTTTGACAACCTGCACTAGATTTGCTATAGAGGCCTAAGTCATCAGCAAAAGCTGTTTGGGACACTTGCAAAGGGGCAGATTTAAAATTAGGAGAGGCAACTTAATTCAGGGGCTGCAAGTGAGTCCAGCAGAAGCTGGAAACAAATATTGAAAAGGACCGGGGACAAGGGGCACCCCTGGAAAACACCAATGTTGTAATTAAAGGTGGGTGTGTGTGGTTGTACGACGAAAGCGCAAAGACTGTCGTAGTAGGAAAAAATTAATTTCCTGAATTGCAAAGGAAGGCTGTAGTGGGTTAGAGCATACTGTATCAGATTGTGGCGCACTGAACCAAATGCATTCTTCAAATCTATCCACGCAATGCAAATTTGGCGTTTGCCGTCTTTGCATCACGCATCGCCTCATAACAAAGTGATGTATGCTCTAAGCACCCAGCCTTTGCAGGCATAAATCCTTTCTGGTTGTCACCATCGAAGAACTTATTGCCTAGCATATGTTTCAAGAGGCGCTTTGCAACTAAGGTGAAAAAGATCTTCCCGGACGTGTTCGCTAGAGCAATCGGTCGGAATTTCGAAGGATCATCAGACACCTCCCCCTTGGCCAGGAGTGTGATACACGCTACCTGCCACTGCCTTGGAATGATCTTGCTCTCCCAAACCCGCCCAAAGATGGTGAAAAGAATGGATTGAAGGGAGGGACAAAGCTTCCAAACTATGTAAGGTATCTTGTCAGGACCCGGTGCAGAGGTGTTGCGACACTTCTTCAAAACATTCTGAAATTCAGTCCATGTAGGGGTCCCCTCATCGACTGGGTGGGTGCAACCCCGGGGCTTCCCTGCACTGGGGCAGGATTCGTACGAAGTGGCACGATCCTGGTCTGCATATGTGTGTTGGAAGTACTCAAAGCAGGTAGTGTCAGAGAAAGTGGGTTTGACATGGTTGGTTGGTTGAAACAATTTCTTTCCGAAGGCATATGGGTCCTTGAGAAAGGCATCCTGGTCCCTCTTGTTCCGGGATCGATCGTCGTACATCTTTTGTTGTTTCAAAAGACGCTTGATTTGTTTTCCAATTGAAAAATACTCATTTCTGAGCGCTGCAGGTACTTCGTCCGGGTTTTTGATCTTACGAAATTGGCGCTTTAAATCACGCCTGTGAGCCCGGAGTTTTTCCACTGCACGGTTTTTATTTGCATTCTTGTGTTTTGGTGGAGGTGGTGGTGGTTTTTGGTCGAAAAACCAGTGAATGAAGTTCTCTAGTTTGTCCAGAGTCTCTTCGATGTTAGTGTTTTTGAGGTATGAGGTTGGGAAATGTTGAGTGAGATGGATCTTCAACTGAGCGTTTATTGTGTGCCATGCCTTGGTGTTTTTGGCTGACGGTAGCAGTAGGGACTGCCGGACTTCTACCTTGTCCATGTCCCGTTGATTCAGGACATGAAGTAAAGACTCATTATGACAGGGAGAGGATTCGTGCGGGATTGTTCGCAATTCATCTCCAGGAGTCATTGTCTGACCTACAGATGGGCTGAAGTGCATTGAATCAATCATGGAAGTCGTCCGACCATCCCCGCTACTGCCGTCTGCTTTGGCTGAGGTGGTTGAAAGTGATTTGTAGACCGGGCAGGTCTGTAGATGTCGTGGCAAGTTTTGTTTCCATTTGAGTTTTCTCAAACAGTGTGGACATGTTGTTTCCCGGTCTGATGGTGTAATGGTTGGTGTACTTGCCTCTAAAGTCATTGGAGTCTCGTGTGGTGGTGATGCAGAGACTGCTGACACAGCTCCAGCCTGCGATGCAGCCAATGTTTTGCATTTGTTAGTCCGCATATGTCGTGCAAGGTTATGTTCTTGTTTGATGGTGGTGTGACATTTCGGACATGTATGATGTTCACCTGTGTCATGCCGTGTACTGGAGTGCTTCTGCTGGCTTGAGGTCAAACCCAACGGATCGTCATATGGCGCAGCAGAATCGTCCAGGGACACAGAGAGAGAGAGAGAGAGGGAGAGAGAGAGAGAGAGAGAGAGAGAGAGAGAGAGAGAGAGAGAGAGAGAGAGAGAGAGAGAGAGAGAGAGAGAGAGAGAGAGAGAGAGAGAGAGAGAGAGAGAGAGAGAGAGAGAGAGAGAGAGAGAGAGAGAGAGGTAGGGAGGTAGGGAGGGAGGGAGGGAGGGAGGGAGAGGGATAGAGAGGGATAGAGAGGGATAGAGAGGGATAGAGAGAGAGAGAGAGAGAGAGAGAGAGAGAGAGAGAGAGAGAGAGAGAGAGAGAGGTAGGTAGGGAGGGAGGGAGGGAGGGAGAGGGATAGAGAGAGAAACAGAGAGAGAGAGAGAGAGAGAGAGAGAGAGAGGTACGGAGGGAGGGAGGGAGAAAGGGAGGGAGGGAGAAAGGGAGGGAGGGAGAGAGAGAGAGAGAGAGAGGAAGTTGTGTTGCAACTCCGAGTTTCACGGTCATCAGCATAATTGAGTCTACATTATAATCATGTTGATTCAGGTGCATTCAGCCATGCTTTTCGATCCTGGGTTCTGAACACACCAAGCACCCATAATCTGACCTTGATCTTTGTGCCTGCCTTGTAAAGACTAAACTGCATGGAGCTATCACTCTATTTCCTATCTTTCTCCCTGACCAAATAAAGGAGCTCATACTGACCTCAGATAGCCATTTGCAGGGAACTCCTATCAATTTAGCATACCCTACTGAATGTTCTATGTTCTGCATTTTTCTTCTTTTGCCTGGGGCTAGTTTCTGTAGCAGAGACCAACTGCAGCTGTCCAGATGGCTACATGCAGCTGTCCAGATGGCTACATCGGGAACGGAGATATCTGTCTTGGTACGTGTTTTTAATGAGTGGCAATGAGCAGTTTGTACAAATGCGCATTGTAAATCAGATTTAAAATTCTATGACGCTGGTCACAGCTATATGGGTGATCTGCAGTAGTATTTCTGAATTGAAGTCAGCTGTCTGTCCAGACAGATTGGTCCACTCTAAAATCTTTGTCAATGGACTTCTGGAGCATAACCACTTGCCTTTATTATGCATCGCATTCCTTGCCATCCATTCCAGACCACCTGTCTTAGATGAAAGACTTTCTTGTGCACTGTGCCATGATTAGTGATGGCTTGCAATTCACGATGTGATGTAATCCTAACTCCTCCTCATAATCACCGTTGTCAATCCTGTTTCTACAGATGTGGATGAATGCGAGGATGGTACTCACACGTGTAGTGTGGCCGCCACGTGTAACAATACTGCCGGCACGTTCAACTGCACCTGCAACATGCCATATACTGGTGATGGGATCGTTTGTGATGGTACGCACTTGAATTCAAATATACTTTGAAGTACTTATCAAGTAGTGAAGAAGTTAAGAGAGTGAGCACAGTAGTATCTGCACTCTGTGACTAAACTCTAGCATGTCTTCAGTTTGAGGCATCAGCTTGCCTCGTTTTTGATAAAGATGTGAGAGTACTGTGCGTGGCAACCATCAACCGATCTTGCATATTGCTCATAAAATCACCACAATGGGTGTATTAGCCTTACAATCGCTCATGAAGACCGATCTACTGCTTGGGTGTGGCTTGCATTTTGACTGCACATTTTGGGAGTGAATAATAATTATTGGAAACTAGAGGACAGGGTTTGGAGAGAATACATGATTTAGTGCTTAAAAGGTAGTGCTAGAAATTTCCGATAAATTGACAGAAATAGGACGGACAGTCTTTGTCTTTCGCAATGTCAATTTTTCTTTGTAGCCACAGCTGTGTGTGTACATGTGTGTGTGTGTGTGTGCATGTGTGTGTGTTTGTGTGTGTGTGTGTGTATGTGCATCTGTGCATGTGTATGTGTGTACATGTGTGTGTATGTTTGTACGTGCTATTTCATTATGTGCATTTATTCGGAACTAGTCTCTTGTCCATCAGGCTGCACGTGCAATAATACAGAGGTCAGGTGCGACGGTATTGCCACCTTCCCGGAAGCCTTCCCCATGAGCACTACATTGATGTAAGTCTCTGGCTTCATTACAGTCAAATTGAATCGTATGCATGAGAACAAAGACTATGTTTGCCTTAACCAGTTTCAGTCCGTTCTGTTAGGGATTGTCGGGAAAAGGTAATTCTGTGGCTAATGTTGTGGGGGTTTCTATTTGTGTCTATTCGATGCACAGTGCCTCCAGTGGATCAACGTTTTTGACGGTGGGAAGCAGGTCATTGCAGTTCCTTTTCAATCTGAATCGACTGTGAGTATTTCCTCGTGCTTGCATGTTGTTGAAACGTTTCATGAGATCTGGAGGGATTCCCAGCCCATTTGGCAGAGCCTTCTTGTCCAAGCACTTGGCTTTCGCTGCCTTTTTGTTTTTGTGTTAAAAATCACTATGGTGAAGAGTATTACTTAGGAATAAGTATAATTATTAAACGTCCCAAATTGGACAATTATTGCTCCTAAGTCAATACCAAATGGCTCTAAAGAGCTGGAATCCTACATAAGCCATTTTCTGTTTTTGCTGATGCTTTCGATGCAGTGAACTTATCAATGGACAGCTCGATACACTGCCAGACGGTCTGTTTGCTGACAGTGCTCTGTTAGAGTTTGTGTAAGTATATTATTGTCATGAGAACAGCAACTGCATGCCTTACCTCTTGTCACTGCTGGTTGCTAGCCAGAATGTATCTGTCAGGATCCGCACACATTAATGATCAAAGCCGATATTCCAATGCTCTTCTCGGTCCACATTTACTGGCACACACAGAGACATAGACAGCAATAGCGACAACACACAAATTGAAGGGTATCGTATTTCCCCGATTGTATGTCGCACCTTTTTACACTAAACTTCAAGGGTAAAGAAGGGGGTGCGACTTACAATCGAGTGTGACTTCTTACTTATCTTATGTGAATGCATTGAGACGATTTTGCTCGGACGTGACAATGTGCTGCGACCTATAATCGGGGAATTTAGTAGTTGGCCGCAGCCAGATGTGACTGGTAAGACTCAAAACTGACTGAAGAAGTCAGGAAAAGAAACGATGATAAAGAACACACCAATCGCCGTGTTTGCAACCGAAAATGTTGAGCGAGAAATCATTTCTCGCCTATCTCGCTGCTCTTGGCCGGCGAGAAATACAATGTCCTATGTCAGTTGTGTTGCTGCTAGGGAGCCTTAACACATAGGGAGGCAGCCCAAGATCGTGGGACCGCCAAGGATTTGCGTTTAAAAAGTTCTATGTGATAAGTGATCTCCGTGCCGATCGTGGCACCGGGTCGTGCCCTTCACCTGCTAACCTCAATCATTCCCCAGACAAGCGATGCTGTCTACATGTACAAGTAGAATCTGGCCTTGCAGCAAGGGCGACTGCAAAGGGGGCAGCCCGGGAGCTTAACTCACATTGTTAGGCAGAACAGTCACCCTGTGCACTTAGACTCCCTGGTTGCCACAATGATCAATCCTAACCGGAAGCCAGACGCTTCAAAGTAAATGTTTTTGGAGGATCCTTTCAATATTTTACTTAAGTCACAGGTTGACGTTTCAGTGATAAAGGAAGATAAAGGTTTGTCTGTGTCCTTCATACCTCTGATTGACTGGGCAAAGAATTTGAACTTGCTAGGTATGGCCATGGGCCAGGCGTGCATCAGAGTCTCACCAGGTTATTTCTGCAAGACACCGCCCCGGGGTCTGGGTCACATGGATGTCCACGCACTTGCATTCTCACACGATAAGAACAAGTTGACAGGCACAAGTCTCAATTCATGTGTCACACGCTGCACTGGACAGGAACACCGTTTTGTTCTTCTATTCTCACCTCGACCCTGATGTGTTCCCATTGTGGTGTCGATAGCTGATCTGTTCCTACCCGAGTCTGATATTCTACCTATGTTTGTGTACTTTTTTCTGGAATGTTGCACAGGATTCTGACAGAGAACAAGCTTATCATGCTCCCAGATGATCTGTTCACCAACAATGTCCGGCTGATTGAAATGTAAGGTACCGGCACAGGGATATTCCTCCAAACGCTCGACAAAGTCTCATAGCCAAATAATAATTGTGATGTGTTAAGCATTTTTGTAATTTCAGCGTGCATGTGTGGAAAGATTGTGATGATCTCTGATAAGGCCATATTACTATGAATGGGAAAAGTTAGCTAGTCTCTCACTTGAGTCTGGAAATTTGTATAAATTGTGAATAATTGTGAGGGCTTTCTTCTCTTTGATCTTTTATGCCCAGCTTCCTTTTCACTATTTAATTTTTTCTCTGGATATCAAAATGCTGTTGTTGTGGTTCTGATATACTAGATTTATTGACAATAACCGCATCACAAGCATCAATGGAAGCCAATTCATTGGACTTAATGTTCTCGTAGTTCTGTAAGATTTGATGTTTGTGCATGATTATACACATGCACAAGCGCGCACACGCACGCACACATGGACGCACACACATACACACACACACGGACGCACACACATACACGGTTGCATACACATACCCGCACACGGATGCATGCACGGTCACACACATACACATACATGAGCGCACATGCGCTTGCACGCACGCACATGCACACGCGCACGCATGCACCTCTCCACCCCCCCCCCCCCCCAAACACACACACACAAGCACACCCATAAGCACAAGCATAAACACACATGCATGCTCTCACCCACACTTAACTTTCTACACACATTGATTCGCACACATTGATTTACACACATTGATTCACATACATGGTTTATGGAATATCTTGTCGATCACCCATTTTGAAATTCGCTAATAGAGAAATCATTGTCTTTGTGGGTCATACATACCAACTGGCACACGTATCCACACAGAAACAATGCTATTATATTGTGCAGATTGTAGTAGAAACGGAGGACTTTGCAGGTTAGGTGCGGAGTTTGGATACATTTTGTACATGGCTGTGACATACCGGCAGCTGTCACTGTTTCTAGGAATACATGTCCTCGTATTCAAACTAAAACTGGACCAAGCTTAGCTCGTTTCTTACCGAATACGACGGCGTCAGGGCTAAATTGAAGTACCTGTGCTGTCATTACTATGTATTTGATTACAGGGGATCTTTAAAACAGTCAGTAGTAATTCACCGATGAAGATCTTGCTGGTAAGGTGTTAAATCATCCACCAGTGTCAAAGAGTACTTTTTATGAAGAACAAACCGAACATATAACGTGGAGTGTTTCTCACTGGCATATTTAGAAGTTTGCGTTTTTCTCATGTGATTCTCTACAGGAATTTGGCTGGTAATCAGCTGACATCTATTGCAGAAGGCCAATTTGCTGATCTAACAAGACTTGAGACATTGTACGTTTACTTCGCAATATTGTCATGTACAATTTTATGTGGCGGTAGTGAAATTATTCGTCAGAGCACCTATCCCCGAGGATAACAAGAGCCGTACCAAATAAGTTTCATTCCTCGTGTTGAAAAGTTCCATCTGCAATGTGTAAAGGGGAACTATCGCAACAGGCCATAGTGCATGATACGGTTGCTGAGTGGTCAGCATAGCATAGTCTCATGTATGTGTACGGTACTAAGGAGAGTTGCCATGGTTCACTTGCAAAAGTGTTCAACCCACGAAGAGGAGCATCCATGTATGTTCTCTGTTCACCGTTCAGTGTTCAATGTATGATGATCACTGTTCACGGTTCAATCTATGTTCACAATGTATTTACGATTATTTTCCATGTGCCATGTGCGCTTTGGTCTTGACAGGAACTTGGCACGGAATAATCTCGCTTCGCTGCCGAATAATCCGTTTCCAAGTTCCAGCGACATTGAAACAATGTGAGTGTTCATGCTATTCAGCTAGTTATGTAGACGTTGTGGATATCTAGGTATTCCCATGTTACCGTGATTCAAATTCGCAATCGGGCAGGGTTTGTTCCGAATGTATAGCGTGTATTCTTGCATATGCTAAACAGCGCAATGCTCACCCTGTCTCAAGACAATCAGTTGATAGGAATTAAAAGACTCCACTGTAGCATATGTTACCGGCATTATGACAGGTGTGTCGTGACTCTTTCCAAGGTGATTTTACAGCTTTGTTGATGACACTCATCAGCTGTGCATGTGGCCATCTCTATGTTAGCCATATATACCTCTCTGTTGTGTTTCTCATATAGGAGAAATCCAATAATTGTACATGCTGCATGTCCCCACTTTGTATTTACAGAGATCTTACTGCCAATGCATTGTCCGCGTTACCCAATGGATTCTTTACACCAGTCCGTGAAACCCTTCGAGCTCTGTAAGTTCTGGCAGGCGTTTTCAGTTTCCGTGAGCACATGCGTTTTCTACTACACACAGAATTGATTACATAATGGCAGTACCGTAAAACCGTAAATTTTCGGTGGAGATGTATTTTCGGTAACTTTCAGTACAGGTAATTTTTACCTCTAATATACAACGTGACCTGAAATACAACCTTGCAATGCCGGCACACAGTGGGCAAAATGCATATTTGGACCTGGAAAACTGGTTCTCTCTCACACCTCACATTTGCACCAGCAAAACCACAGTGCAGGGTCGGCTGCGGACAGCCACATTGCCTTGTTTCAAGGGGAAAACAGAGCTGCCAGAATTCGAGGCAAAATGATACAGCAACAGTTAGTGCAGAATGACCACCCAGATAAAATAAATAAAATAATAAGCAACTAGAACTTATAAAATCAGCAGTGCAGAAAGATACAGCAAGGAAACCACCGCATTCACAATCAGAGCAATTATATATATACAGAGGGTGGGTGGGCGGGCCCTTGATGAGCAAGACAAAAAGAAGGACAATCTTTTTGCGCAAGCGCTGTTTCACAGCACTCGCTCAACAACGATTACGTCACTACAGTGACGTCAACCTGCACTGCGTGCCACAACAAAAAATAATACAACAAGCTTCGCAAATATTCGAAGTTCGAGAGAACATTGCTTCTCGTTTCTTTCGAATTCTCAGCCAACGAGAAGCGTACACTTCACTGAAATGTTAGCGCTACCGAACACCGAAAATACTAAACCACCGAAAATTTCCTGTTTTACAGTATATGACTTGTGTTGCTGTAGTTTATCTGCAGTGAGAAAGCCGTACGTTGTTCATTCTATCGAATCCTGGCAAACTAGCATTATTTTTGATATATTAGAAAAACGTAATACCGGCATATATGCATGTATATGGGGAAGAGTGTGTTTATGTGTATAATACTCATACAACAATGACACAACCAAGTCCTTTCCTGCCTTTACTCTGAGTTTCGTGTTAAAAGAAACACTCGTCAGACAGCATGATATCATGCTGTATAAGAAGTACTCATCAGACAGCATGTTATCATGCTGTCTGACGAGTGTTTCTTATACAGCATGATATCACGAAAGTCTGAGTAACGGCAGAATAGGACTTGGTTGCATCACTGCTGTGTGTGTATTGTACTACTCACTCTGTCCACTGGACATAGAGCGCTATAAACAGTCTGAGGATCTTTTAGACACCTGTCCATGTGTATGTGTACCTCGAAGTATGTTTTCAACACTTTCAAATCATGGATACGTGCATGTCTTTACCTCTTCAGATTCCTGGGTGAAAACGTGTTATCTTCTCTTCCTCCATCTTTGGCTGACCTGGACCAGATGATCAGTCTGTAAGTGATTTTACGTTTGTTGGTACAGGATTATCAGCGAATGGTTTAGTCAGGAAATGTGTTTGCTGCCCACACCGGGGCTCACGCTTTCCGGTTTGGAGAGCCAACACGCTTCCTGTGTAATCATCGCTGAAGTCGCTACCATTATCTCAAATGGTTTATTAGCCCCTTCAGTTTCGTTGCCTCCATAGAAACGTAGCTGGAAATTCATAGCAAAATGTCAAAAATAATATGACTGTGTTTCCGAAACATTGCTAAGACCGGCTGCTCGGTATGTGTCTTCAATGCATAAACATGGCTGCAGCCTTTTTGTGTAGCAACTTGTTCCATGTTTTCCATGTACAGCCAGCTCTAGCACACTTGTGGGTATGACTGTTGACCTTTCATGACCTATACAGGGCTGGTGTCATAACGTGTACGGCTGACGTGGACTAGCCGGGAAGACTATGCATAGCTCCCATGTGTGCATCGTTCTCTAGACCTGTGTGCCGGAGATAAATGAGTCTGCTTGCCTGATGAGCTGGCCACATGCTATACAGATATACCTGTACAAATGAGAGTCGTCTGGCTCGGTAGAGTGCTCAACATTCATAGGAATAGAGCTATTTTCACACGGCACAGAGCACCACACATCATTCCTTGTAACTAATACTGTTTCAAGCCTATACTGAGGCAATCATCAGACAACTAATTGTAATCATCTACCACCTGTACATGGTGTTGTGGAATGTGCTTCTTCTTACAGGAATCTGAACCAGTTCCAGGGAACTCAGCTACCCGGTGGGATATTTGCAAGCATGGTCGACCTAGAATCACTGTAAGTGACCAATTGTGCTCTAGTATAACTTACAATTGGCAAGCATACACCCGTACAGCAGCTAATACTTTGCTGTACTTCAGTATGAATGCTGTTGGGTGCATTTTTGCTTCTCCTTTGATTGCCGTAAGGCGTGATTATTTCCTGAGGAACCTGAAAAGTCATACCAGAAAAGGGAAGAACTGCAAAATAATTCACGTAGCTCCTTACGTTCAATGTGGCCGGCCACTCTGATCTTCTCTGCGGATATCTAATGAAGTCGAATGGCCCGCTGTCAGGAGGTTGCGTACGTATGATTTATTGTGGTCAAAGTTTGACGGTCAAAACCTGCTTTTCCATTGGAGACGGGTTCAGGCCTGACTTTTGGATACGTTACACCCATTGTTCCTCAATGACTTACTGCTCTGCGCCAAGTCACCGGGGCGTCGGACACGCTACGGTCACTATAATTATATTGACCATACCATTCTTTGTCCCATGTACCCTTGAATCACCCTAAAGGGCGGTGATGTTGGGTCTAAATTTCGAAAAAATTCAGAGGAGCCACTGGTATACTTTACTTCAGGTGACTGGCCGCACCACCCGAAAATGCCTTCCGACGCCCCTGATGCAGTGATACCAGGCCTGACTTGTATGCATTGTGTTCTCTGCTATATTATGTTATTGTGCTATCCTTTCAGATTGCTGTCCTTCTCCCGGTTGACGTCACTGCAATTTGACCTATTCACATCCCAGAACAAACTGAGAAATCTGTAAGTCACTAAAGATGGTGGATGCGTTCGATTTCTGCCATGAACCGATTCATGAATGGAATCTCGTCGTTCGATTTCATGTCCTGAGCCCTGGAATCGATTCGGAATTCATTCAGCCTATTCACATGGCATGATGTGAATCGCCAGAAACAATTCATGAATGGGTCTAACGTCGATTCACGGACATTACCGAACGCACTCAGTGTGCCTTTGAATACAGTGGAGATAACGCTGACATTCACTCCTGCAGAAAGTGTGACTGGTGATACGTTAGTGTCGCCGCCAATGCCGGCTCCTGTGATTCATAGGTTGTTAGCTACCACGGCAGCTAGAGCATTTTCTCCTGTATGTCCATTCTTCACCTTATCAGTGTATGCCCTACATAGACCTCTTCTGAATCTCGGTTCTCGTGCTTCTTTGTCTTCCCAGGTTTATGACTGTTTTACCTAGATATAAAATACATACTGTTGCAGACTTGTGAGTCCCTATTTTCATGTCCCCAGTGTCACTGGGTCATGACGCAGAGAAGCCTTGCCACAACATGTAATGCTCTCCATATGCAAACATTGCCTCTCTTCTTCTTGCAGGGAAATAGAAGCGAATGAGCTGAGCTCTCTACCTAACTTCCTGTTCGCCAACTGTCCATCTTTGATCACACTGTAAGGATGGTGTCCATCGCACCTCTCAACACTACTCAAATCAAAAATTATTATTTCATAACCGTGTCTGGGTAGAGCATCGGCAAGCAGCAGACTTCTCCTCTGATATAGAAAACTGTAACTAATTATACTCTCCGCTTCAGCTTCGGTGACTCGGGGATTCAGGGACTAGAAAGTCTACTTTATGCACAATACAGTGTGCTCGCGAGTCTCCTTATTCTTTAGCTGCTGGTGCTCCACCACTTCTCCTGGCTGGTGTTCACTACTAAAAGAATGTAACGACAAAATAGCTATGCCAATGTTGACGCTGAAGCAAGGCAATCTGCATTACAGAGCGAATGAAGGCACCAGGGTCTGATTAGCAATGACATAGGGAACACGGGGAGCTGGTGGTACTTACTTGAATGGTGCTCTGAAAGAGGTATTTTGCATAGCTTGGTGTTTGGTGTCTCTTGTGGAAAGAACTCCGCCTCTTCCGCTAGTATATGCCTAAAAATGGCTGCTTAAGCGATGCCGCACCCCTACATACAGCTCTAGGGCCGCCTCTTCTCTCTTCTTTTTTTTCGTACCTGCAGTGATTTGTCTTTCAACCAGCTTCAGGGTTTACCAGCATGTGCATTCAGAGGACTTACAAGTTTGAGGGAAATGTGAGTTGATATGTATATTGCTGCCGTTGCCGCTGCTGTTGCTGCTGCTGCTGCTTCTGCTGCTGCCGCTGTTGCTGCTAGACAGTATGCTGTTGCTGCTGCTGCTTCTGCTGCTGCCGCTGTTGCTGCTAGACAGTATGCTGTTGCTGCTGCTGCTGCTGGTTCTGCTGCTGCCGCTGTTGCTGCTAGACAGTATGCTGTTGTGTTGTGACTGTTATGCACCCCGAGGACAACACTGGTCAAGATTCATCATCTGTCCCGCACTGATGAAGAGTTGCTTTGCCTCAATCATCCACCAGTCTACTCTGATGTCGAGCCACAACTTCTTTTTTACCGTATAAGTGTCGCATAGAGTACAGACAAAAAAGCTACTTAAAAAACTACTACAAAATGTAAAATACTCATGCTTATGTCAAACAACAAAGTAGCAAATGTTGATAAATGTGACAAGAACACGTTTTGGAACTAAACATTTGCTACTTTGTTGTTTTACATGAGCGCGAGTTAATTTTACTCATAGCTAATTCACGGTTATTATTTCCACGTCGACTATTTGTATATAGTTTTATCACAATTTTCGGCGCTTACTTGCATCATTTCTTTGTTCTCTTTCTGGCCTTTGAGAAGCATGTCTCTAACCTTGTGTTTTAGGGCAAGAGTGAATGACTATAAAATAAATAAATTAAGATACACGAGAACAGAAGTTTCTCCTGCTTCGCAGAATAACAAACCATGTTCACATGCATCCTGAACAGAATGAAAAAGGACAAGGCCTCACATGTTATCCATGCTGCCTTGCGCTACCTTTCTGTCTGTGTCTACAGAAATCTCAAAGGAAACAGCATTTCTGAATTTCAACCAGGTACCTTCTTTGATACTGGAACGCTCTCTGATGTGTAAGTCGATAACAAGTACTTGTGTATCAAGTTTCTCAGTTTTGCACTACATTTCGACCGATGTTACCATAAATTATGGTTTGAAATATTAAGGTTGAGGCATAGATGAACTTATGGCCTCGTTTTGTATATAAATTTCACAAAGGTGTCACAATTGTGTTTTCACAGCTTTTTGTACTTGTTCCATTTCTGCTACTGCTGCTCTCTTTCTTTCTTTCTTTCTATCTTTCTTTCTATCTTTCTTTCTATCTTTCTATCTTTCTATCTTTCTTTCTTTCCTTCTTTATTCTCTCTCTCTCTCTCTCTCTCTCTCTCTCTCTCTCTCTTTCTCTCTCTATCTCTCTCTCTCTATCTCTCTCTCTCTCTCTCTCTCTCTCTCTCTCTCTCTCTCTCTC